GTCTGTGCTTGAAAACGAAACGCATTTTCGGGGATTCCCGCAAATAATGCATACGTTTAGTGAACAGCGCGCGGTACTTTCCCTACTCGCTTTAGAACCGAGTAGGGGAATTACCGCACTGTAGTGAGAACATTGCACGTATTGCTGTGAAACTTTGAATTTAAGTTTACTAAAGAGTGAGGTTAAGATTCAGTACTGACGTTCGATCCGCGCGGCCTACTATGTTTCTATATGCAAAACTTGAAAGACATCCCTCGTATCGACAATTACATGTAAATCACACTCATCCGAGAAACGAATATTGAATAACAGATTTGCATTGTTGATTAAACGTTGAGATATTAATTCGTAAAACTCCAGCTTTCTATAACAATCGTCTTCATTAAGTTCATGGACAAGTTTTATCTTGTACGGGTGAAATTTATTGTCTTTCAAAATTCCTTGTACTGTGGAGCGTGTAAATCCTGAAGAAGTAGCCGGTCCACGAGTTCACTGGTTGTTGTCAATCCAAACAAACCAGTCGGTTACATATCGGCCACCCTGTATTATTACACTGGACAACAAATTTTAGTTTTTTAATTGTATCTTGTGGGAAATAAAAAAATTAGCTGCGGTTTTGAAAAAAAACTTTTTATTTTTAAGGATATATTAAAAAAAGTAACAAGATTCATATACTTATAAGAATCACTGTATGCGCTGTCTTTTTGCTGTTCTTTTATGGATCGTTTCTGGAGCATCTCTACCAAGAGTCCAACAGTAGTCTGCAAGCATGGAAGGATTCCACTTTCTCTGGTACGTTTTTTCCATTGTTGAAATATCCTGAAAACGTTCGCCGTGCTCATCACTTACGGCTCCGCAATTGTCAGGGAAAAAAGTCCAGGTGTGAGTGTAGGAAATGTATCTTAAGAGACATATTACAGCCCATCTTTTGATACGATGACAGCATATTTTTGACAAGGGTTTTATAGTTGTCAGCTCTTCTATTTCCCAAGAAATTAGTGACCACCAGACGGAAATCATTCCAAGCAGTTTTTTCAATACCTGTTAAAGTGTTTTCAAACTGTGTATCTTTCAAAATATTTCGAATCTGTGGCCCAACAAAAATACCTTCTTTAACCTTTGCCTCACTTAGTCTTGGAAATTTCTGACGCAGGTATTGAAAAGCTGACCCATTTCTATCTAATGCCTTGACAAAGTTTTTCATTAGGCCCAACTTGATATGCAGTGGTGGTAATAAAATTTTTTTCGAATCTACTAATGGCATATGCTGTACATTTTTTTGACCTGGCTCTAGGAATTGACGAACAGGCCAGTTTTGTCTGGTGTAATGAAGTACCTTTGCCCGACTGTCCCATTCACACAAAAAACAGCAAAACTTTGTGTAGCCTAGCTGCAGCCCAAGTAAAAGTGCAACAACTTTCAAATCGCCACAAATATGCCATTGGTGCTCATCGTATTTTATGCATGTCAATAGGTACTTCATATTGTCATATGATTCTTTCATGTGAACTGCATACCTTACAGGAAGAGATGGTAAAATATTTCCAATATGCAATAACACTGCCTTTGAACTGTCTATAAACAATCTCCATTCTTCTGGGTTATAGTTTATATTTAAAGCCGCCAGTAAGCCGTTAATGTTACTGCAGAACACCAAGTTATTCTCCATATTGAAAAATGGTTTTAAGTCTTTGTGGCGTTTACGAAAAACACATACCGAAACATCGTCTTCTAACAAGTTCCACTGCTGCAGTCTTGATCCAAGTAACTCTGCCTTACATTTTGGAAGTTCTAAATCTCTTACAAGATCATTTAATTCTGACTGTGTTATTTTGTGCGGTTGGTGGCTTGACGGGCTCGGTATAAAATCAGGATCTCTTGACGTTGATGGCATATCTTCTTCCTGACGAATCACTCGATCGCCATGATCTGATTCGTTTTCTGATTCGCAAGTGTAGGATTCTGGGGGTTTTGGAATAGGATTTTCGTCACTGTGAGGCACAGGTCTCATCGCAGATGGTATGTTTGGGTAGTTAATAACCGATTTCTTTTTCTTGGACATACCTGTGGCTTATCCAACACAAGGTACCATGCAAAAGTAACAATCATTAATATGATTTGTAGGCTCTCTCCAAACCATTGGGACAGCAAAGCGCATAGACCGTTTTTTGCCATTTAACCAGCTCCTCAGACTTGAAGCGCATGTATTACAGCAGATGTGGTGTGCCCACTGTTTGTCTTGATCACCTAGTTTACAACCGAAATAAAGCTGATATGCCTTTGTTATTAGTGGAGTAATAGACCGTCTCTGAGACGCAAAAGTCACATCACCACACACGTAACAACACTGATCTGGATTGTTTACACACTTTCGAGACATCTTGCATGAACGCTGTCAGCCAACTGAGGAAAAAATGGCTAATATAAAACAATATAATGTACACGTATGTATAACGTAACACAATCATGCCGATTACATCATCTTTCCTTGCCGAATATAAAAATGTAGCACGTGCATTCTTGTGAATTACAGTATATTAACACTGTCACAGCAGGAACACATATAATTACCGTATCTCTAAAATTTGAACTAATATTGAAAAAATAAGTTTCATTCCGGTTTTAGCACATTAAAAATAGTAATATATTGTTGATTTTATTTAGGATTTTTTTGGCTGCTGATCAGTGTTATTAGTATTTCAAAATATGCTACAAGCGGCAATGTGAGACAAGTAAAATTACCGGATGATTGAACGAAATAGTCGATAAAAGGTGAAGTATTTCAGTATTTTAGAATATTCATCGACGGTGCCTACGGCGGCACCTCATCCGTTTACAGAGTCAATGGATGAGGTATTATAAAATCGATTACACCATCAGCCTACGCGGTCACGAAGTGCCATCAACAACGTGGTCGTGCTTCTCCGTAACCTGTTAGATATAATGATGTAATTGGTATACCTTCCAACAATTACAGGTCGAAATGATTGTAATCTTATTGTAAGATGCTAAGCCGCTATGATACTTTGAGATGGCCTGCTGACATATTCGGTACGACATCAACGATGCAAGTTATTTATGAGTAAATTGGAGGTGTGTGTGTGTGATCATAATGTAATCAAACAACCATTTAAAAAACAGATTTAGTTTTTACTGCGTGCACTGTGCACTTTGTTGGCTTTTCGTTGATTACTAGTTAAGTGTACAGGGTGTCCTGAAAGTTGGGACTTTACTTTTCAGAAACAACCACGTTTGTAATAACAAAGCTAATGTGTGGCGAAACAACAGCGAAGAGGTAAAAGAAAAATAAATGAAAAAGTACTCGGTCAACGAAAATATACTAAGTGACATATAAATCCGAACACCCAGTTTAAATGGTTTTATTTTAATAAAAGTTGGTGAATGTATTTATCTTACTGTAAATAACAAGTGAAAAAATATTCAGCCTTATCAGTTGGACATTCCGGTTTTTATACTGCTATTTTTTAATTCACTAACGCTCTAAAAATGAATATTTCAGCCGCAGTAAGGAATCAACGTTGGCGGATTTTGGTTCTTGACATCCTTTACGATCGGTTACGATGCCTAGAGTACGGAGACCTGTACGATTTCGTCAACTTAGTGAGTTTGATAGGGGCCGTATAGTGGGACTTCGGGAAGCTGGACTTTCTTTTCGGGCAATTGCAGTTAGAGTGCAAAGAAGTGTAGACACTGTGGTTAGGTGTTGTCAGGCATGGCTTCAAGAAGGCCGTACGCAAAGAGCAAGGGGAACTGCACGCCGCCGTAGAACAACAGACCGTGAAGATCGCCGCCTAAGATTATTGGCCTTAAGGGACCGTTTCTCCACTACCAGGTCCATTGCAAATGAATGGTTTGCAGAACACGGAAGACCTATTGGCATGCGAAGTGTTTACCGACGAATGAGAAGTTTTGGCTTGTTTTCATACCGGCCACACTGGGTTCTCCCTTTAACTCGAGAACACCGACGTAATCGCCTTGAGTGGTGCAGACAACGGTCACTCTGGGATCAGGAATGGAACAGTATTGTCTTTAGTGACGAGTCTCGATTTTGTCTAGGCATGCACGATGGTCGTGGGGCTTTAAAGCAGTGCAATCATTTCGAAATTTTTACCATTTACTTATTATGCTTCATTAAGTACTTATACAAAATTTTATTAAAATAAAACCATTTAAACTGGGTGTTCGGATTTATATGTCACTTAGTATAAATTCCAAGTACAGCCCTGTCACTTGTAAGTTTTGTTCAAATTTGTCTGCCATAGATTCAAAGACACATGTATAATAATAATAATATGTGCTCAACGTAGCCCAGCATCAGTGTATGCTTTTAGAATCGTTTTCCTTTTTCGAACGGATGCAGCAAATTACTAAATTTGCACACGTAGTTCGTCAACTGGTTTATACACCAAACATTTCAGTATAGAAAAAAAAATTAAATCACGAGGGATCTTGAAAAATGATCTGCATGCGCTCGCGAGGCCTCGGTAGCATTTGGAAGACACTCCGTAAATTAACGATGTTTCTGTATGAGTGTGACATTTTTTGTTTTTTAGAACCGATGTATAAAGGTGAACGCGGATTATCGGACCCCAGAATAGTTTGTGTTTTTAAAATCATGACGTTCCAGCTTCCCTACCCCCTCCCTTTAACTAGGGAGGAGCTCGATATGAACTTTATGTTTCGGGCCCCAGAGATCCCGGATCTGTCATTGTTAAGGTCATAGGCGCTCATGGTGGGCCTTCTAAAAAAAAATGACACTACTAGAAGAAGAAGCTGTGCTAACGTTTCCAATGGCAAATTGGTTTTTCAAATAAATAGTTCCTTGTGGCTGAAAAAATGTGGGAACCTAATTTTTTAGACAACTCCCGTATAAGCCATCAGGTTATTTAGGTTTGGTTTATTTTTCATTACGTTCTAGCTACAAATTAGCAAATCTAATTTTTTTCAAATAGGTCAAGCTACATTGAATTTTTTGTTCCAGGAGGATGAAGAGGCCGCCAGGCCTTTGGGTTCTCCTATCGGCAGGTAAGTTTTCTACATTCAAAAAGACACCAAAATCAAAATAAAGACATAATCTGAAGAATACCTTTTGATTATACAGGAAAAACGCTCAGTCCCGTCGATTTTGTTTTCGAGGGGGACACAAGTTTGGCAAAAAATCACGTTAGCACGTGCAGCCCCCTAAGCGGGGGTGACACCACCCCCAGAATCTTAAATGGAAAGAGGGGTCGAGTGATACCTTATTTTAAAGGTCTTTCAATTCCCTTTATAATGATATAAAATTAATGTACATAAGATTTATCGATTTAAAGCTTAAATAAAACAAATACATCATCATTAGTGGAGATCAATACAGGGTGTCCGCAAAGTTGGGGTTGTCCTTTTCAGAAACAAGTACCCTTGAAATAACAAAGGTAATGTGTAGTGAAACGAGGGCGACCAAGTAAAAAAAAATAAAGGAAAAAGTACTCACTCTCCAGTTGACGAGAAGGGCTAAGTACGTATCTGCCCGAAATCATACCGCTCCAACAGAAAATGAAATCAGCTGATGCGCTACCGAGCAGACGCAGGCGGTGGTGCAGACCACGAACAGAGGTAACAAATATGACGGCGTTGCCGCGTTTTCAGTTTTTAGGTAAACCTACTTTATAGGTATTGTTCGAAGTTATCGCCGTTTGATTCAAAGACACAGGTGCGTGCACGACGTAGCCAAGCATCGGTGCAGGCTTTGAGAATGGAGTCCCTCCCCCGAATGCAAGCACCAGCTTGTTCAATTCTGAGACGAAGTTCGTCAACCGTATGCACTTCAGTTATGTACACTAAGCGTTTCATTTCTCGCCAAAGAAAAATATCACATGGTGTTAAGTCTGGAGATCGCGGAGGCCACGCTACGGGTCCATTACGTCCGATCCACCTATTCGGAAATAATTCATTCAAAAACTCACGCACTTCGCGTCTAAAATGGGGTGGAGAAACCACATTGATTGTCTTACACTTAATGGCACATCTTCTAACAAGGAAGGCAAAATGTTGCGTAAAAAGTCTAGGTATTGCATGCCGTCCAATCGATTTGGGGAATAAATGGTCCAATGAGCATACCGTTCACCATGCCAGCCCAAACATTCACCGAAAATGTTTGTTGAAAATGTGCCCGACGGACAGCGTGCGGATTTTCTACTGACCAAACATGAGTGTTGCGAAAGTTATTACGTGTAGCATTTTGAAGAGATTCACCATAAATTAACAACATATCAACGAGTTCATTATTGGTGTATGAGTGTGTCATTATTATTTTTTTTTAAACGCAATCGATTATACGGGTTCGTTTACCTCTACACGCGTGACCGTAACCGTCGGTTGAAGGTTGCATACTGATCTGACACACTGACCTCGACCCAGTTCTTTCGTCGGGTTGAGCCAGTGACCTTGTACCACTCGGTGATGTCGCGGGTCGCGGCTACAGGACGGTATTCAGATATTTTTGATGTTGCAGAGCCCTTTATCTCGGTTCCCTTAAGACATTAGTGTATATGGTTCTAAGAAAAATTGCTTATGTTTTCAAGATCTACACGTCGTGTAAAGGAAAACCCCAACTTTGCGGACACCCTGTATATTTGGGAGCAGAGTAATTTAAAAATGAAGAATGAACTGACCCGTTAGGCAAGTAAACGTTGAAAATGGCCATCATGACTCTCCATGCAATAATAAAGATTTTGCTCAAAACGTTGCCGCATCTTTTGCAACATGCATCTTCAAGAACCGATGAAAATATCGACAGAAGGATTATCTTTCGTGTGGCGGCTCCTCAGCCTCCCTTTTCGCCTGACTTGAGTCCTTGTGACTTTTTGTTCTTCCCGAAGTTGAAAAATCACCTCAAGGAACTCTTTTTGGGACAGTCGATAACATTTACATGGTGGCTGTAACTGACCAGCTAAAGATATCCGACTTCCAGCACTGATAAGGAGTGGAAGAATCATCTGCAGCGCGGTGTGGCTTCAGAAGTTATTATATACTAAGTGACATATAAATCCGAACACCTAGTTTAAATAGTTTTATTTTAATAAAATTTTGTAGTACTTAATGAAGCATAATAAGTAAATGATAAAAATTTCAAAATGATTGCACTGCTTTAAAGCCCTTTGACCTTTAATAATGTGTGGATGCACCCTGATGTGCTACGCATTCTCCAACGCGCCTAGGCATGCTTCTGATCAGGTCGTCAATGTCCTCCTGTGGTATCTCATTCCAGGCAACCACCAACTCCTCTCGAAGTGCTTCTAGAGTCTGAGGAGGACGTTGCAAATTGAGCAATCTCCTACGCATCATATCCCACACGTGCTCAATTGGGGATAAGTCGGGAGATCTTGGTGGCCATGGTAACAATGTGACATCATTATGTTGAAAGAAGTCTATTGTGACTCTTGCAACATGTGGTCGGGCATTATCTTGTTGGAAAGTTGGATCTGCCAGGGTGTCAAGATAGGGTAAAAGATGGGGTTCTAGAACTTCGTGGATATAACGCTGCGCGTTCATGTTACCTCTGATGAAGATTAAAGGTGACCTGGAACCATAAGCTATAGCACCCCAAACCATAACTCCAACAGTGTGATGAACATGTCTTTCAACAAAAAACTGTGGATTCCTCCTTTCACCACGTCGCCTTCTAACCCTGGCACGACCATCGTGCATGCCTAAACAAAATCGAGACTCGTCACTAAAGACAATACTGTTCCATTCCTGATCCCAGAGTGACCGTTGTCTACACCACTCAAGGCGATTACGTCGGTGTTTTCGAGTTAAAGGGAGGACCCAGTGTGGCCGGTATGAAAACAAGCCAAAACTTCTCATTCGTCGGTAAACACTTCGCATGCCAATAGGTCTTCCGTGTTCTGCAAACCATTCATTTGCAATGGACCTGGTAGTGGAGAAACGGTCCCTTAACTCCAATAATCTTAGGCGGCGATCTTCACGGTCTGTTGTTCTACGGCGGCGTCCAGTGCCCCGTGCTCTTTGCGTACGGCCTTCTCGAAGCCATGCCTGACAACACCTAACCACAGTGTCTACACTTCTTTGCACTCTAACTGCAATTGCCCGTAAAGAAAGTCCAGCTTCCCGAAGTCCCACTATACGGCCCCTATCAAACTCACTAAGTTGACGAAATCGTACAGGTCTCCGTACTCTAGGCATCGTAACCGATCGTAAAGAATGTCAAGAACCAAAATCCGCCAACGTTGATTCTTTACTGCGGCTGAAATATTCATTTTTAGAGCGTTAGTGAATTAAAAAAAAGCAGTATAAAAACCGGAATGTCCGGCTGAAAATTTTTTCACTTGTTATTTACAGTAAGATAAATACATTCACCAACTTTTATTAAAATAAAACCATTTAAACTGGGTGTTCGGATTTATATGTCACTTAGGATAATTCAATTTGCATAAAAACATAGTCTCATCATATAATTTACAGACCTTGTAGATAGGCACACGGAATCAAACCAATTGAGGTAGCAGAAATCGATACAATTTCTCAGAAAGATAGGTAGTTAAATTTGATACGAATTTATCATTTGTGCAGGACCGTAAACGATGATATATTTGTTTTCTCTCTAACCTTGAAATATTCTTGATCGTAGCGAATCCGATAGAAAATGTGTCTATCCACAGCAAAAACTAAGAATGTTTAAATATGCTTTTCTACCGTGCAAAAAGCTAAATACACAGATCGACTTTCCGTTTTCGCCGAAAGTTGCTTTCAAACGGCGTGCCGTTCAAAAAACGAAATTTCTTCCTGAAACTAATTAATTCTAAAAATTCATCCATCTGAATAACCGGAGCTGTAAAAAGTGCTTAACCGAATCTAGCTATCGCTGAAAGTGACAACTTTTCACGTGCAATTAAATAATGAAAAGTATTTATTGTTCACAGCCTGATTATTATTTACTGTTGGTGTGCAGCTAAGTAATGGATCAGCACGATAAGTTGAGTATCTGTAATACATACAAAAACCGAACTTTCCATTTTGTGTTGTGTCCATAATCAGTTTTACTTTTACTCTGTTTGTGGAATTTCGACGTTTTTGCATTTCATGATAAACCTGATTCAAGCACTGCTTAATACTGCCAGCGTCACAACGCGATTAGACGGTATTTACAATAGAAATTGTATTGGGATTACCTATTTGAATACCTCGCTGTCAAAATGCAATGCCCCTCAATGGACTCTGGCTCAAATAAAACCGACGCAGCAGGTCGTGCTGTTGAAGCGTTCGCTATAACCTAATCACTCACCCAGCTGGTGACAAGTCCTAATTTTTCCCACGCATTTCGTCACAAGGCAATAGCCTGCTAGATCTCTTTCTGACCACGCATCACGTCCCTTACTGCTGTCGTGTCTCCCTTCAGTCACTCGTGAAGCAGTTTAGAAATCGAATTAACAAAGCTCCTCCAAGTTCCGCGGCGCCCCGGTATTTAGGCTTCTGCCTGCGCGGCTGGTTTTGTATAAAAAAAAGTAGTTGACGAGAGTGGTGGGTATACCGGTGTTCTAATGATCTTGTTAAAAAAAACGCTAATAGCACTGGACTATCATGAATATATGGAGGTGGAAACGTTGCATTGAAGTGTACCGAGGTGCGATCTTGTCACATCAGTGCCGAATTGTTGCCGAATTTGTGGCGGTCCTGAAATGTCGGGGCAGCATTAAGACTGATCCAGAATCGATTTTAAACCGTGACACAGTTCGTGATTCAGAAATATCGAAATAAAACCATTGTTTGGATGTAGAAAACAAACTACATCCACCATCACAAACCTACTTTTGTGGTTGCATATGTGCATTCATTTCGGGCCTCATGAAGCCAACAAGCAGAAATACGTATTGCTCGGGTTAGCTATCCTATTTTCTGCTGGAATCCACTTTCCTTCTTTTTGCAGATTTTGCTCATTATTTTGATATTTTTTGTTATATACTTTTCTCCGCATGATCATTTTCTCTCTGTAGATCCTTTGGGCTTGAAGTTCCACAGCAATA